ATGATGTTATTTGCTTATAAGTGTAATAGATTATTTATTAGAGTAAGATCCTATATTAACTACAATGCAAAAAGCCCTAGCAAATATCATGGTTAGTGCCTACACGCTGCTAGCATATTAAACTTTAATTCAAGTCATTACTTAAAGCAGAGTTCTAAATAAACAAATAACCCTCACCATGACAAATGTATCAAACTACAACTTACCAAGAGTAGAGTATTTAAATACTTATCTTTCTTGTTACTGTTTGAGGAAAAAAAAAACCTTAGATCACAAGAGAATCAAAATTCAAAAAAAAAAAATTAAAAAAGAGAATCAAAATTCCACATTATACCATAGTGTTCTGCTTATTACGTTTAACTTCTGCTCTGAGCTACCATCTCATTTTAGAGGAAGAGTCAAGATATTTTTTGTCTTTTTGCTACGAACACCAATGTGTGATAAAACAATATCTAACAATAAATATAAAAATCTCTTCTTTAGCACTATGCATACTACCCACTTAAGTTGTATTTTCTATTGTAAACCAACTTTTATGCATTTTTAGTTTAATTTTTGTTAACCAAATCTACAGTATAACATTTAAAAAATTCAATTATGACTATATATTGGTTCTTAGAACATGGTTAATGAGGAAATTTGTTTTGTACGTCTATACATATTTGCAATGTTGGTTTCTTCTCTTTCTCAATGGCTGGAGGAGCAGGAGAGAGGAAATCTGGAACTGAAAATTAAATAAAACCGATTTTAAAAAACTATATATTGGGCTAGTCAAAGTAGAGACTCTTGAGTCTTCTAATCAAATTTTAAAGCAAACAAAAAGTACCAGGGCTCTTCATATATCAATCTTTATAAATACAACATTCTTCAAAAACATGATCAACTAATTAGCGTAGTGGATAGAGTACTAAGCTTGATGTCAAAGATTTAAGAGTTCAAATCCTGCCTGACACTTACCAGCTGTGTTTACACTCAGAAAGATAATTAAACTCTCAGCCTCAATTTCTTCATCTGTAAAATGAGGGGTTTGGGCTCAAATTGCCTCTAAGGTCTCTTCCTGCTCTAAATCTATGCTCCTATTGGTTGATTTGGATGGATTATCTACCAACAACAAAATATTTGCACCACTGTATTTCTAACTAGAAACTGTAATTTATATAGGCTGATATAGCAAAGACTAGACGAAAAAGATTTGAATCAAGCTACTGGTCACATACAATGCAAACATTTCTGAGGATATTACATTTATATCACATATTTAAGTTTTCTATATTTGGTTTAAAAGTTGTTTCTTCAAAAGAAATTAAACTTTTATGTAAAATGTACTTGATTGGATAGTAAGTCAACAAGCAGCATCTACATACTGGGCAGTGTGCTATGCGGTAGGGAAACAAAACAAAAAAAAAGACAGTTTTTGGTCTCAAGGAGCTCATAGTATAATGGGGGAGACAACATGCAAACTACTCTATACAAACAATATATACAAAAGTGAAGACAATCAATAGAGTTCCAACACTGGCATTAAGGTGGACTGGGAAACACTTAGGAACAGGTAAATTTGCTTCATAAAGTAGATTCATTATAAACTTTGTATACAAATCAGATATATCAATAAAGAAGTTCTTTATTCCATCTTATCTTATATCACAAGGCACAACAAATCTCATAGGGCCTGAAGCAAGAAAAGCAAAAACCTACTGGTTTAATATATTCAGTTTTCAGGTGTTGTTAGACAATTACATATTCTTATCTACTAAGTCAAGCCAGCATGAGCAGTGAACTTGCTCAGATGACAATCATTCTTAGATCTCAATTTTCCAGCTGGTAAAAAACTCATTTTAAAAACTGAATCATCATGATGCCCTACAATTACAAAGTAGAAGCTTCCAGATAATGTCTACAATGTCCTTTGGGAAGAACTGGAAGCCAAACCCCTTGCAAACCCTCCATTTAAGCCACCAGTTCCTTTGCCTGACCCATTGGCCCTCTAACTGAACAAAACCAAAACTCTTTAGCCTAGCATTCTAAACCCACAAGAGTAGAGCTCCAAACTGGGCAACAGTTTCTCTCTTACACACTTAGAACACTATTTTATGTATATATTGTTGCCATCCTAAATTGTAAGCTCCTTGTGGGTAGGGACAATCTTATCTTTAACACTTCAGCAGCTGGTACATCTTGTGTTGCCTTGGCACTTGGTGTAAGTGGAAATACGGTACATACTGCCTTAATGTTCTTTGCATATATTTCATCACTGCTCCTAAACTGTACACTTCTGTAGAGACTAGCCTCTGTGGTATGGTGGAAAGAGCATTGGATTTAGAGTCAAAAGAAATTAGTGTTGGTCTTGAAGTTGCCGTTCACTAAAACCTAGGCAAATATCTTTACTTCTCCAAAGCCCAGTTTTCCCATTTGTTTTTAAAAAAATAGCTCTACTCTCTACTTTAGATCTTGTCTAGACTGCCTCACCCAGAGGCAGGGCCTCCAGAAGGTGACCAGGAATATTCCCAGACAAATGACTGAGGTGTTATGGGGAATGTTATTGTGGGTACAGGATCAGCTAGATAGTAGGAAGTCAGGGACTGGAGCTTGTCATAGTAGTCAATAATCAGGAAAAAGAAAGTCAAGTCCTAAGGGCCAGAGGTAAAAGAAAAAAAGACATATTCCTGGCAAGACAGCAATGGGACTTAAGTCTAGGGAAATACTCAGTCAAGGGTCCCAGCAGAAGTCAAAAGCAAAGAAGTGGGAAATTGCTCACCTAACTTCCCTCAACAGTCACTGCTGTGGGAAGCAACAGCTGTAACAGGACTAGCAGTAGACAATTCACAAGGCTGCTATGAGAATAAAATTAGATATGATGACCACAAAGTACTACAAAAATGTTGGCTAGTAGGATGCACAATAATCCCCATAGTACTTACCAAGAGTTCAATGAATAAATGATTCTTCAGCATAGAGCAAGTTAAACAACCTCTCACACTAATATAAATTAACAGCTTAAGCAGAGATTTGAGGTAAGTTATTTTGCTTTGGGGGTATAAAGTCTAAAACTTCTTGTTCTTGAAAGAATGCTAGAGGAGCAGCTAGATGTCGAATTGGATACAAAATAGTCCTTGGAGTCAGGAGGGCTCGAGTTGTGCGACCCTAGGCCAGTCACTTAAACCCGATTGCCTCCAAAAAAATAAAAGAGACAGAGAGGAAAAATAAGGATCCTGGAGAAAACTGAACATTTAAGAGTTTGAAATATGTACCCTAGGTGGCTTATAATCTAGAGGTGACAGATAATAACAGCTCATATTTAAATAGTATTTTATGCAAGGTTATCTGAAAGTATTATTAGTGAAATTTTAAGCTATTAAAGCATAACCATGTAAAAGATTGCTTAAAACTGCACTAAGACTTTCAAGCTACCTTCTATAAACTCTTCTATGCCTCAAAAGACTGTGAGTTAGTACTTCAAGTATCATTACCCTTATTTTACAATTTATGAAGCTAGCGCTCATATAGGTTAAGTTACCTGACCAAGAACACCCCCCCTCACGGCTACAAATTCAGCACTCCCTGCCCCTCCTTTTTTCTCTTATGACCAAGCTCAAGATTCAGTGAGTTGAAAGAATCAGGGGCTTAGGTGAATTATTATAGTGTGAAAAGGTAACTTGACTGGGTAGCAAGTGTCAAAACTGTTGCTTTCTTTGCTTGGTTGCTCTGTCACAAACCGCTGGAAAAAAGGCTTGGTTCTAGAAAGAGTACTTCAATTACCTTCTTCGAAGCCCTTTCCCCTAAAACACAAGCCGGAATTGCTGACTGTGTTAAGACAATCTAAGTTGAAGTCTGAAAGAATAAGATCTATGGGGAAACTTTTGCATAGCTTGTTATATCCCATTGTGGAGGGGCAGCATCTCTATATAGTGCGTTTCTAAGTAAAACAAAGGTGCAAAATGTAGGGAGGACCCTATTTAAAACCGGTTCATCTTGGTCTTGTTTTTCCAGGCTCCCTATATACGAAATACTTTGGCTTTTTCCAACCTTTCTTCAACGGTTATTTTGTTTTGTCTTGTTTAGTTTTTTAACAAGACTACAACTCCCACGATGCACTGCCCATCCAATTTTATCAAAACAAGAAAACCAATGGCCGACCAAAACCTATGACCTAAGGGCACAAATCACCCGGGAAAGTTTCCGAGCAAGGACTTCGGTTCCCACAACCTCTGGACTGACTGCACCCATGTTCCTCGGGGACACGTCGGGAGATTCCCGGGGAGCGGGGAAGGGGGAGGGGCGGTCCCAAGTTCTCGAGTCTCCCCGGAGCTCGTCGTAGAGAGCATTGCTTCTCATCCCCGCCTCCGTGGTGACGAGAGGCGCCCCCACTTCTGGATGAGGTTTCCTCCTCTATATACACACTCCTCCAGTCAGCACGCCGCCGGCCCGCCGGCGTCCTCTGTCCGTTTGAATGTGAGCGGGGCGACCCCTCAATCCTGTCACCCCCGACTACCTACGCACGCCTCCCCCTCCTCCTCCAAAACAGCGAGTCTAAGCAAACCAATTCCGCGCTTCGTTTGTCCCCCCCCCGGGCCCCAAACAGAGTTCCCAGGAGACTCCATCCAAAGTAGCCAGAGCAAGGACTTAGAAGGAGCCAGGAGCACAAGTCGCCCCTCCCCTTCGAATTCCCGGCCTCACTACCCTCCAGATCCTCCTCATCCTCCCCCCCACCACCTCCCCGCTCGCGAGAACGCTTCTCCTGCCTGCAGCGCTGGCCCCAGGAAGCGCGTGCGGGACTAGCAGTCAGGAGCCTTGCTTTGAGCTCGTCGGCCGCCGTAGCCCCTGCTAAGGCAGCCCGTGCGAGCCCGCTGGAGGAGGAAGAGAAAGGCAGAGAGAATCGGGTTACAAGATGGCGGACTTGTAGTGGTTACGGCGGCGGCGGCGGCGGCGGGAGAGCGAGCGAGCCCCCGGGGGGGGGCTTTAGGGGGGTGGGCGGAGGGAGGGTGGGTGTGTATGAGCGGGGGGGAGGGAGGGGAGACGGTGAAAGCGCGGACGGGGGTGCCGGGGGCTCGGTAGTTGTGGTCACCCCTGCGTGCGACCGCTCCCGGGAGCCATGGTGAACAGGGGCCTGTCCGGAGCCGCCGCCGCTGCCGCTGCGTGCTCTCGGGACTGAGATATCCGGACTAGCTAGCGAGGAGGCGGTGGTGGCGGCCGGAGGGGCGGGAGCGTAGCGGCCAGCCACCATGTCGGATACGCGGCGGCGGGTGAAGGTGTACACCCTGAACGAGGACCGGCAATGGGACGACAGGGGCACCGGGCATGTCTCTTCCACCTACGTGGAGCGGCTCAAGGGCATGTCGCTCCTGGTGCGGGCCGAGTCCGACGGTAAGGATCCGGGGGCGGCGGGGACGGGGGAGGGACCTCGCTTGCAGCCTGGGGGTTGCTGAGGCTGATTTAGGCCCCAGGCTTCTCTGCTTCCTGAAGAGGGCTCCTGCCTGTCGCCTTTATTTCTCCTCGCACCCGTGCGAGGACCCCTGTCTTCTCCTGTTTACTCCTAATTAGCAGCTGTTTATGGTTCCCCACCCTCGGTACTCCGCTTCTGGAGTGGGTTTTGCTTACTTTCCACTCCAGACCACCCCCCAATACCACCACCACCAAGTCTTGGTCGTTGGGCAGAAGGGAGGAAGTAGTCATGGGTTCCCTACTTGAAAGCTGGGGTCTTGTTTATTTTTTACCCGTTATTTTGTTTCTGGGACAGATTATAAAACTTTAGTTGATAAGCAGTTTGTTTTTTTTTTTAACATTGCTCCTTCTTTACCCACCGCCCCAATTGCCACCACCGACAGGTGCTGGGGAAATCCAAAAGCCTCCATGGGCCTGGTGTCGGTTACTGCAGACTGTTGCCACGATACATGCACACACACGCACACACTTAGGTCTGAGGTAGCTCCAGAGTAATCCTTTGTGGAGGCCGCGATGAAAAGGATACTTTACCCTGCAAGCAGGATAAGACACCAAAGTAGACTGTGTGTAAATTCGTATTCATTGTTTTATAACCGAAGTTTTAACATTGGAAAACGTAGAGCGGTAATTTTGCCACCTTTGATTGTGGGATCAAGAACCTCTCCACAACAAAAGTGTGAAGCTGTTAGGAAAAGAAAAATTTTTGATCTTTGGCTTTCTCTCTACTCGACACTCACCTGCACTTTCCCTTTCATTTTAAATAATAAAGGAGTTCTTCTAGAAAAGGGATTGTTTCGTTCTTTTTGTGTCTTTATCTTTAGCTCCTAGTACATAGTAGGCACTGGAGTAAATGTATTTTAAATAGCCACAAAATTCTGCCCTTACACAAAGTATTTCAAGTTTTGTTCTTATTGGATGAGATGAATAAATGAAATACTGTAATTTTGTATTGATCTAAGATTTTGTTACCGTAGTGTGGTAGGCTATTAATGTTGAGTTGTTTTTTTCAACTTGGTCCAAAATAGTCATATAGGATTCAAAATTTTTTGGCTTCAGTTGATTATTGCTTGTCATTTGGTTTCCTTAATTCTGTGTCCTGTTTTTTAATGCTGGACTGAGATGGAGGTGTGGGAAATAAAGAGTTGTATTTTAAATTAAATGAGTTTGTTCAGTGTGGAGAGAAAATGTGGATTGGAACATATTTCTTTACTTCAAAACAGATGTCTAGTTGGCTGAAGAGAGATTTTTTCCTGTGTTGTGAATTTTTATATATTTATTTTGGTTTTTAAAGTTGAAATGTTAAATATGTTATTCTTGTCACCTTTTAGGGTCACTACTGTTGGAATCAAAGATAAATCCAAACACTGCATATCAGAAACAACAGGCAAGTAGTTATTTTTAATTAAGGATTGCTGGTTAGATCAATGCAGTATCAATTAGGCACAGATCATGAAGTTTTCTTGTTAAGGCAAAGTGTATTTCTTAAACAAAATTACTGATTATGGCATACCTCACAAGTTAAAAATTCTTTACACACACATACACAAAGTTAAACCTGTGTTTGGTTATAATTTGGGAAAATGTCTTATTTTAATTACTTTTGTTTTTATTAGAAAATGCTGGTTATTTCTGATGGAGCATCTCTGTATCTAGAGAAAGGAAGTTTAAAGGGTTTTCTTTAAGTCAAGGAGAGTGTTGTGTGTGAAGTTAGATTTTTTAAATCAAGCAAGATTGAGGTTTAAAAGTAGCATACAGCTTTTAAATACCATTTTAAGGTATATTTTTAGTATACTGATAAAAGGATACTTTAAAAATGTGTATATTGCTATTTCTTTTTTATGTTTTGTATTTGACGTTTAGGAAACAGAGAGGTTTTCCTTTAAGTATGCTGTTTATGTCAACATAATTATTTTTTAATCTCTGAGAGTAGCTACAAGGATTGAAACACTTCTTTTGCCTGTGTATTTAAAGTAACTTTAATGTGGAATTTAGTTTAAATTCTGAATTTCAGAATACCGTTTAGCTTGTAATTGCCTTGAAGTTTGCATACTTATGAGCGTTTGAATGGTACATGCATAGTGATGGAAATATACTACAATATGAGGAAAAGTTTTATGAATAGTGGAACTCACATAGTGAGTTTTCTTTCACTCTTAATCGATTGTCAGAAGTACTACATAATTCTCTATTCCCCAATAAGATATTTCAGTGGAATTTGTTTTTCTTAAATTATCCTTGCAGAGAACTAATTTTTTGAAATGTTGATTTGTATTAGTTCTGCTCAGGATGAGAATCAACTGTTAAAATTTATTTATGATCCCATCCCCTCTCTCACTATGTTCCACCTACACTGAATATGTCCAGTATCTACCAAGTCCTTTACATATTGTTTTCTCTATTAGAATGTAAGCTCCTTAAGGTCAGGAACTTTGTCTTTTTTCCGTTCTTTTGTATTCCCCAATGCTTTAGAATTGACACATAATAAGTGCTAAATAAATATGCCTTAATGGTCTGGTGGTTCTCTCTCCACCCCCTCCCCCTCATTTGTATGACTGTAACATTGTTTGAGACCTTTGTTGAAAGAAGGTCACATGTTACAGAGAGGTAGATGTTGACTTAATATGAGAAAAATCTTCACAGCAATTAGAGCTGTCCAAAGATAGAGGTAGGAAAAACTTCCTAAAATTCAAACTGTCCAAAAATGGAATGGACTACCTCAAGAAATAATGGGGTTCCACCTCCCTGGAGATTTCAAGCAGATACTAGACAGCTACTTTTGGATGTGTTATGATGGGTATTCCTCTGTGTGTGAGTTGGTCTAGACAGGGTTTGTGAGGTCCTTTCCAAGTCTAAAAATCTGAATTTCCTGTCTCTGCAAATCTTATAGTAAAAGCTAGATGAGCACAAGGTAGATGAGAAGAGATAATTGCTTTAGCCACAGGTTTGAAAGATCCCCTCCAAGGTTTCTTTCACCTTGGAGATTCTATAATTCTCTCCACAACAATTTATTCTAACATTCATCTTAGACTAGCTTCAAGGCTTTAGTTTTTAAAAATATTGGGAGGATAGCATTATAACAAGGTTTATAATGTAATTCCATAGCATGGACCTAAGAATTTTTTCAAGTATATCAAAGTTCCAGTAACATTGTAGATGTTACACCTTTAAAAATAAATGTTTAATATGTATTTGTATCTCATATGGCTGCTGTAATGAGTTTATATTTGCTGTTATACTAATTTACAAATATCTGCAGATAAAACCTTTGATTCTTTCTCATGGAGGTGAGAAGAGCTACTTTTTTTTATATGATGGGTTATATATTATCCCAAAAAATCACTTTTTTTATGCAAATGTTTTCATTTTATTTTAATAATTTTTCAGTAGTTAGACTTCATCCATGGTTAATTTCTTGCCTCTTATTTCTGCAGCACATTAAGGTTTCTTTATTACATGCTTGCAGATTAAATCTTGTAGATTTTAACCTACTAAGAATATTTTTATCAGAGAACTTTAAGTGAGAATTTGGCAAAATCTTGTCTTTTATATGGAAATGAAACTCTGGTCTGCATGGGATGACTTGTCTCTTTATTGTAAACCTCTCATGTATTAGAAAATGATGTTCATTTTTGTTTTAATTTCTTTGAATAATTGTAGCTTTATCTCTTTTTTTTTTTTAGGAGATCTTATTTTGTTGAGCAGATAAGAATCATTTTCAGTTAACACATTAACTGCAGTCAGGATGGAAGTCCAACATTAGCTACAGAAAAAGGCCTGCTTAGAAAACAGTGAAACAAGACAGAAATGGGGGGTAGTATTTAGCTCATTAAGAATGTTTACCTGTGGGACAGCTAGGTGGCGCAGTGGGTAGAGCACCAGCCCTGAATTCAGAAGGACCTGAGTTCAAATTTGGCCTCAGACACATAACACTTACTAGCTGTGTGACCCTGGACAAGTCACTTAACCCCACTGCCTAGCCAAAAAACTGAAACAAAACAAAAGAATGTTTACCTCTTATTCTTAAATTTACAAAACCGCATCACAAAATTTGCTTGGAGTTTTCAAAGACATTAATATTTTCAGAGTTAAGGAATTTTTATTTTTTTTTATTTCTTTTTAATTATCCCCTTTAAATTATTGTTTGTTTTTTTGGTGAGGCAGTTGGGGTTAAGTGACTTGCCCAGGGTCACACAGCTAGTAAGTGTTATGTGTCTGAGTCCAGATTTGAATTCAGGTCCTCCTGACTCCAGGGCTGGTACTCTATCTGCTGGGCCACCTAGCTGCCCTCCCCCCCTTAAATAATTAAACAGCAGTTTTCCACAGAAATCTTTTGGATTTACAAATGATGCTAATGTATTCAGTAGTTCGTAAACTTGTTATGTCATCAGTATTTAATAGATGTCTAATATAGTAATAGCTCATTAGCAATGAGGATATTTTCTTTTTTTTTTAATTTTGAAACATACAGAAAAGTAAATGTTTAGCTTCTCTTAAAATTACAGTTGAAAATTGAAAAAAAATCCTGTATTTGGACATAGGTTAGAGTTACAGAATTTTGGGTAGGGAGTGGTGGAGGAAAGGGATGGATGTGGACCTTTGATTTCATTGGTATTGGGAATTTCCATTGTGGAAACTTACTCCAGTCATGCTGATCAGCAGCTGGTCTGTAATTTAAAAGGAATGAACTTGGGCATCAGGAGATTATGACTTGCCCAGGATCACACAGCATAAGTGTGTTGTTAGTCAGCATTTGAACCCAAGTCTTTTTGAGTGCAAGGCTGTGTCACATTGCCTTTTATTAACATTAATTGAATTTTGGGGGTGAGGGAAGACGGAAAATGGAATGTAGTGTTCTTTACTACCTATCTAATTCATATGAGGCTATAGTGCTCTGGGGTATTACTAACAAATTGAACTTAACTAGTGTGTTTTTTGTAATTTTTAAATGTTTTGCACACTTGTCTATTGAAGATTAATTGAGAGATGCTAAGCCAGAGTAGCCAAAGAGGTCTTTACACTCAGGGGAGAACTTTAGTGAGAAGAGTTGTTTAGAAGAATTGAGAGTTGTTGGACACTATCATATACTTTTTAGGACATTATTAAATATCTTGATTTTAAAGCAGAATAGAAAATGATCTTTTGGCTAGTTTATGTGAAGTTAATGCCTGGAATCAGAGATCTGAATGGGATTGACCTTTGGAGAACTGTACTATAGCTATGTGATACTATTGTTTATAATCAAAGCTTTTAAAAGGATAGGAGACTGGCAATGGCAAGTACTGTTTTCCTCAATTTTAAAGATAGAACACATGTCCCAGAAAGCTAAAATAACTTGACTGTGGTCACATTACTTTATCCTCCAAAAAACCTCACATATAGACTCTCAAGGGTGAAGAACAACCATCAAGCAGGTTTGGTCAGTCTTTTTTATGTTGCTCTGTCAGCGTAAGGAAAGTAAAAAGAAATGGGAATAGCATAGGTGAGGGGTTAGGGACAAGGGGTGATAATCATCACAGGTCAGCATTTAAATTGTCTGTTGCCCAAGACTTACCTCCGGATGTGGTTCTCATGGCTAAAATGGGGGAGGGGAAGCTGTGGCCATTCTTAGGAAAGGTAAGTAGCAGGTAACTGCTTTCATGGCACCTCTTGCTGCCTCCACCTGTCTTTGCACAGGCTGTGCCACATAGCTATAATGCACTTCTTACCTCTCACTCTTAGAATCTTTGGTTCTTTCAAGGCGAAACTCAAATGCCACCCCCATTGGGAATTTTTCCTGATCTGCTTAGTTTTAGTACTCTTTCTCTTCCCAAACTTATCTATTTAAACATTGCATCTGCCCACTTCTAAGAATGTAAGCAAGTACTTTTCTTTTTTAAAAAGCTTTTGGTTAGGGGTTTTTGCTAAGGCGCTGTAGCAAGAATAGTTGATGCCAAAATCTCTCCCAAAAGTCTGACAACACTCTCCCGTCAATACATTCAGAGACTGGGAAAAAGTGACCTTGAGCTTAGAGAGGACATGTGGTAAAGGGGTAGTAGGGAGTAGTTTTCTTTTTTTTTTTTGTATCTCTAGCGGAGTGCCTTGTAAGTAGCAGATGCTTAGTGATAAATATTTGTATTGAATTGAATAGCATTGTAGTAGGCACTGTGAAAAAGTAAAATTCCTGCTTATGCTAAGTAAGCTTATAAATTGGTTGGGTCATTTAAAACATAGGTACTAGAAAAAACAAAGAGGCAACATATAAACAGATACCAAATATACAAATATTATTAAGAAATAGGAATGACTTTATATAACTACCACCATTAACATTAAAATGAGCAATTTATGCATGTGAATCTCTGTTAAAAGTAATATTTTGTTTTTTGTTTTTGGTTTTTGGTGGGT